ATAACGACTTACTAATAAAGAGATAAATAAGTCAAAATACTAATGATTGTATATTAATTTCTTAAAAGATACATCGAAGCCATCAGTTGATTTTTTTTAAATCAACATTAGATTTGGATATGTTGAATGATCCAAATGAAACCACAACAAAATATGGAACAACAAATTACCGAGTTTTATTAGGTATTTAGTAAAAAGATTATAAATAAAAAGTATTCATCACATATTTTGATTATTATAAACCTATATTGTTTTCACTTTAGAGTATGATACAAATGACGATCAGTCAGAGCAAAGTTTATCTGAGTAATTTACACAAATGAAAAATATTAAGCAGAACCGTAGCCGTAGTATTTATTTTTTTTGGAAACGAGATCAGATATATTAACAAAAAAAATATATAAAATTATGTATAAAATAAAATGTGACCAGTAGCGATTGTATTACATTTTATGTTGTTATCTTAGTAATAACTGATAGGGATGAGAACAAGGACGTAATTTTGTGAAATAAAGTGTTAAACATTTACATTCATCATTTTAAAATAGATATAACAAACTTCAGAACCATCCAAACCCTCTCGTTTCTAACATTGCTTCCTCTTCGATCCCTGACAACCCTCCGAGGCATCTGAAAAGAAGATGGCCTCGAGATCTCCTTTTGTAAATAGATTTTTAGAGTGCTACCAGTGGGTAGTTTCTCAAGAAGTGATTTCATGTTATTATATTATTTTGTTCACATTTAGTGCATGTATTTTTCTTTGTAATACAGCTGTAAATATCATCAATAAAAAAAAATAGATTTAAATAAAAATTGTCTTTAACATATTATAAAACTAACTTCATTTCGTTCACTAAATCTTAAATTTCTCGTTCAATAAGTGCTGCATTGTTGAAAACCTATTTTTGGCAACAGGCGAAAACCTATTATTGTTTTATATTTAATACAGATCACTAGGAATAGTGAATGGTCTCGTTTTTAAGACGCGTAATATTAAGTATATCACTTTCAATTTATGAAACTACAAGCCTATCAGCTACTGGCAAAAGGTCCCATTATATGGCTCCAGTAGCTGACACCCATTAAATTCCCTATTCCTTTATCAAGATAAGTTGAAAACAGATGGAACACAATTTTATGGATCAACTAATGTTGATTTCAAAAAAATCAACTAACGGCTTCGATGAGTCTTTTAAGAAATCAACATTGAAATCATCACTTATAGTCATTACTATTTTTACTTATTTAACTCTTTATTAGTAAGTCGTTATTATTTGTTTTTTGAGACTATATTTTCCTTTTTCGACTCTCTAACTCAGCTTCACGTCAAAATACAATTTTAATTTATAACTCATTAAATAGAGGATGAAATTCTGAAAAATTCGCGTGCTTACAGTATGCAGATCCGAATTTTAGTTTTTGAGATATTTTAATCCAAATGTTCCAAAAAAAAAAAAAAAAACATGAAATACAAAATATGTAATAAATCAACGAACCTAAGGAATGGTGGGTGCTTTTACTGATGAACGGTTATTCTTAGGACACTAAGTGGACCACGAAGGACCTTCCTAATGTGAAACTCATTTTTTTGTTGCGATTTCCAACAAGACTAACAGGTAAGGCAAGGCAGACAAAAATACAAGGATAAAATACAGAAACTAAAAATATATAAAATAGAGGTATAGGAGGTCCTGAAACTTTATTATTTTTATTTTTCGACGTTCTCCACTGGGTTTAGCCCCAGTGACGCGGTTGAGACAGAAGTGCAAGGATCTCCTGGAGTCATGCTTTTCCTTCCACAGTTGAAGGGACAAGTCTGGCTCGGAGTTCTCTCACCAGATTGTAAATAGTCTATATATGTATGTATGTGTTCTTTTTATTTATTTACTTTTTAGGTTATTTTATTCTTATTTATTGTATATATATTATTTTTCTGTATAATTTATTTTATTTATTGTACATAGAGTGTGAATGTGTTCTCTGAACACTATTATAAATGGCCTTTGAGACAGACATAAGTTAAAAAGCAAAAATTTTTCGACGAGGATGTCAGTCAGCTATTGGTGCTTTTACCCTATGTTCTCTTTTTTCCAAAATCATCAAAACTGTAAATTGCTTGTCATTTATTGCCTGCATATTTGCTTATTGCCACTTCCTACAGTGATATGTGTGATTATCAAAATGAAAAAAAAATTAAATAGATATGTATAAAAATTATAAAATATGTTGTAGATCGCAATTTCAACATACCATATTTAAAATTATTAATATTTGTTTCTGCTAATTGACTCTGAAAAAAATAAATCGATTTCTTTTCACTACCTAATTAAGAAAAGTGAGATTTTTAAACATTAAAAAAAAACGGAGCTCATTAATGAAGCCGATTAAAATCCTCAGCCTACTCACAAGAAATCAGTCACCCTTTTCGCTTGTTGTTTTTTTTCATTCGATTTTCGCTTTCGCTCTCTAGATAGCTAAAAATTTTGATTGCCATGTATCATTGTATATATTTAATACTGCATAGGAAATTGTTTAGAAAATTTTTATTTATTTTTTTCCCTACATTTATTTGCACCTGGAGATGGAAAATTAGGTTTTTTTAACTAAACCGATTCGCAAAGATTCAATCATTGAGATGAATCAATTCTTATGAACGTTTCTTCGATCGATTCTTTAAATCTTCTTTTTTTTTTAATTTAAATTAAAAAGGCACTTTTAACTCTGGCATCAATCCCCCGCCCTCGTCATCTGGCCTCGGAAAACCTCGCATAGACTATATGGCGAAGGAGAGAAAAAGAAAAAAAAACTAAGGTGTGTGCTTTAGACCACACGACAGAGGTGAAAAGATCAACAAGAAGATATTATTCATATGAAATATAAATTATAAATAATAGCTCATTATAAAGAGGACGAAATGCTGAACAATTGCCTCGCTTACAGTATGCAGGTCCGATTTTTAATATTTGAGATATTTTATCCATATGCAAAAACACTTCAATTAATCGCCTGCAGCCGATTTTATCCGAGCGTTACCCATCAGAGTCCGACGGCCCAATAATTGAGGAATTAATTATACGGCGCAGTAATAGAATTTAAGTTTGTAACCAAGATTAAGGAATGATTGAAAAAAAATAAATAGAACTCTTCTGTTTCTTGTGACTAATTATAAATTGATATTTTAGCATGTGCATGTGCTCTTACATCTTATATCTTGACTATCGTTTGTTGATGTTTATATGTGGTATGCCATATTGTTGTATATAGAATCTACTATTGTATATCTTTTTTTGTTATTTTTATTATCTTCCAATTTATCTTTAATTATTCAATGCTCCTTACTTTGTCACTAATAAAATAATCCATAATGACCTTAATGTTCCATATGTTTCCGATTTGGCCCAATCCAGGTACTTATCCTTCCATAATAAACTTTATAACCATCCGAATCCTCTTGTTTCTAACCTTGCATCCTCTTCGATTCCTGATAACCCTCCGAAGTGTCTGAAAAGAAGATGGCCTCGTGATCTCCTTATGTAGACATATTATTAGAGTGCTACCTGTGGGTAGTTTCTCAACAAGCGGTTTCAAGTGATTATATTCTTGTATACACATTTACTTGATGTATTTATATTGTAATATAGTTGTAAATATCTTGAATAAATAGTTTTAAAAAAATCATTAATTGTATATAGTAATTATGTTTACATTCTATCTTTTTCCTTTTATTTCATTTCTTTTGCTTGTAAATAGTATTAATTCTATAACATTTATTTCTGTAAATAGATCTCTTAACCTTTTTTGCTGCTTTATAAAAATATCCAACCTAACCCCTTCTCACCTGAGCTAGCATGGTAGAATAAATATTAAATGATGGCCAAATAATGGGTAAGTACCTTATATTTTCTAGATTTATCTCTTTAGAGATGAAAGGCTGGTAAAGCCAGGCGTCCAACCAGTAAAAAATCAGTTAGGAAATTATATTTATTAAAACTTTTTATTTTATTTTTTATTTATATGATATTTACAACTCTATAAAAAAACGATGCAAATAATTTCACAATGGTTTATTATCTCCAAACAATTATACATCTAAAGTAACATTACCTTCCGAGTTACAAAGAAAAAAAAAAAAAAGTTGATTCCAATTATTGGACTAAACTGTTTTTCTTTAATCATTAGTAATATGCTAAAAAAAATAGCATTATTTCAGTAACACATTTAAAATTTAAAAACCAAACCAAGGATATAACATTTGGAGTAGAACATATAAAAAAAAAAAACAGAGACCATATCTTTGCTCTCCTAATTGTCCGATTTTAACGATTTTTTTTTTTTGTTTTTTAGGAAAGTTCATAAACTTTTTAAAAACTATATCGACAAAAAAGTAAAAACTTTTCGAGTTATTCGGAATTTAATTTTAACATCCCTCGTAACTTTATTTCCAGCTTCTTTTCGTTGAAGTATGTTATATAAATAAATTTAAAGGGCGTCGAGAAAATGACTTTTGCGAAGTTTCATTGAAATTCGTACATTCGTTTAGGAGCTACAGTCTATAGCAACGCAGGTTTTTTGGCCGCCATTTTGAAAGTTAAAGGCGGATAGTAATGTTGATAAAGAAGGATCATCCTCGGGTGACCTCTGATTTTATATCAAAATTTGAAAAAAATCGGTCCAGCAGTTTCGGAGAAAATGCGCGGACGGCGGACGGACAAAAAAATTTTTATTCGTTTTTCGAATTCTACGCATCTTGAAACGTGAAACCTCAAATTTTGAGAGGGGGTTACGTTTTAGAATTTTTCGGTAGATCACAATGGTCGATTATTGAAAATAACAAACCTAAATCCGATAGGAAATTATATTTATTAAAACTTATTTCATTATCGTTTTCTTTATCTTTTTTTTTTTGTTATAAGTTCTAGGACTACCTAAAAGTCTCGTCCTGGTTATCCTTCTTCAAGATTATAATTGAGGTAAATTATCTAGAAATATTATTTATTTACCCGTGAAATAGTCCGGTACGAAGGGCTTATCCCTCTGGCCGATGAGGAGGTTGGCCGAGTAGTCCATTTCGGATCGGCTGCAGTTGACCTGGTACCAGTGGGCGCAGATGAGCATCCTCTGGTGGAAGAGAGTGGTGTTGGGGCACATGTAGCTGTACTGCCTTTGGCCCTCTCCGCACATGTGGTACACCTAAAATAATACAATAAATAATAATATTACAATATAATAATACAATAATACAATATAATAATACAATAATAAAATAAAGTAGAAAATGGAATCAGTTAATAAAAGAATATATAATTATTGAAGGAAGTTAGTCGACTGTGCTACATATCATGGGTGATAGATAATCAGAACGCTCATCAAAAATGAGTAGTTATTTCATATTTCCATGCAATTCCGTATTTCTCAGGTTTGAAAGGTCCTCCAACATGAAACCCCACAAAAATATGATTAACTATGAAAATCAAAATAGCTATTTAAAGTATGCTCCTCTCAAAATGTTTGATGGCAAAAGATTTGCGATGTCATTTCCTATATACCTAGTCCTGTCACGAATACAGTTACAAAGAAGTATATACAGATTTCAACAGAAAAATTAATTTTTTCAAAAACTATTAGAAAATAATAATTGGTAATTGGTTGACTGTCGTGGATAATGAAGAGAAGAATAGTTGGGGTGGTCAGTCAAAAAGGAAGGCAAAAATAAATTTTAATATTTATTTTTTACATATTCCGACGTTTCGACCTGAAGTTCAGGCCTTCATCAGGGCTAAGAAAATAACCAGATAACAAGGTATGAGAAACATAAGTAATGATGGTAAAAAAGATAATAAAAAATAAAAAAATTAGAAAAAATAAAATAGATAAATATAAAGTAAAATGAAATTGTTAGAATAATGACTAAGAGCTAAGAGATAAATAATAAAAACCGTTACAAAGTGTGGAATGATGAAGTAGGCATAATCAAAAAGGGTGACAAAAGTGTTACAATGCGAATCTTAGAATAAAATGTAAAACATAAAAAAGAAATATGAAGTTATATAAGGTGGTGTTTTTAACTCTTTATTATATTATACATTGTCTGTACATCTTGATAGACTTTACAATATCTCAATTTTCTATCTAACTACTCCATTCTCAATGTTTTAATTTTACTATTTATTTTCATTACTTATATAACTTCATATTTCTTTTTTATGTTTTACATTTTATTCTAAGATTCGCATTGTAACACTTTTGTCACCCTTTTTGATTATGCCTACTTCATCATTCCAAACTTTGTAACGGTGTTTATTATTTATCTCTTAGCTCTTAGTCATTATTCTAACAATTTCATTTTACTTTATATTTATCTATTTTATTTTTTCTAATTTTTTTTATTTTTTATTATCTTTTTTACCATCATTACTTATGCTTCTCATACCTTGTTATCTGGTTATTTTCTTAGCCCTGATGAAGGCCTGAACTTCAGGTCGAAACGTCGGCATATGTAAAAAATAAATATTAACATTTATTTTTGCCTTCCTTTTTGACTGACCACCCCAACTATTCTTCTCTTCATTATTAGAAAATAAAATGTAAGACTTTTATTACCAACGTTTCAACACAAATATGTGGATAGGATAACATCAGGGCATGTTACCAGCATTGAATAATTGAATATCTTCAATTCAGGTAACATGGCCTGATGTTCAAGTACCAGTACTGGTAACATGCCCTGATGTTACTCACAACCTTAGGTTGAAACGTTTGCAAAAAAATCTTTAAAAAAACCTGACTATCTTTCACCCATGAAAAAAATATATTGATACAATCTGTCACATTGAAGAGCAATAATTATTAAGGTTGCAAGTATTAATTTAAAACATATCTCTCTCTCTCTCTCTCTCTCTCTCTCTATATATATATATATATATATATATATATATATATATATATATATATATATATATATATATGTGTATATAAATGAATGTATGTCTGTCTGTCCGTCTGTTTGTCCTTAGTGCATTACTAAACCATTTAACCGATCGCCATGAAACTTAGGGAATTTATTCCGTACACTCCTGGGAAGGTTTCTGGCATAGTACTTCTGTCTTACGAATTTTAATTTAATTTTATATATGTAAAAAAAATAAAAATGTAAATGTTTTTCTGTTCAAAGCCGCAAAAAATATGTCGCTATAAACTGTAGCGCCAAAATGGCTTTACAGATTTTAATGAAACTTGGCTAAAGTCTTCCCTTTGAAACCCTTTTAATTTATGTGTATAACATACATTCCCGAAAACAAGCTAAACAATGTTACGATGAATTCAATATTTTATTTGACGATAACTAAAAAAAGTACACAATTTTTGACTGATAATACCCACATTTATTCGAAAGATTTCTGAATCGTCTACAAAATAAAAAAAATCATCGATATCGGACGGTTCGTTGCAGAGTTATTGAGTTTTAAACATTTACTGTTTTCTCTTCAGAAAAGGCCGTTTCCTTTTGCTTCCTCACTACCAAACGTCGGCAAGCATTTTTTTTTAATTAATCGAAAATTTTATAATTATTACAGTAATTGAAATTATCATTTGAAGAAGTTATACGATTCTCCTTATGCAGGTCTATACTATTATACGTTTTTTAAATTAATTTTTTAATTTAGTTTTATAATTTCAACTCAGACTGTTTCTCATGATTATGAATGACGGCGTATTCACTCAGATGATTATGAATGTTCAATTTGAATCATGAGAAAAAAATCATTAGAATTGGTTTAAATTGAAGCCATTTTACAGACAAATTTGTTTCCCAACTTTTTAATAATGACAGATGTTCTTTGCTACTAATCTACTCATATGTGCTTTCTATTTTCTTTCTTTTTCATTTTGCTAGGCTAAGCCACAGCAGCGCGTGGCCGGGTAACGCTAGTATACATATATTGGAGAAATAAATGTGAATAATTAAAACAAATATATTAAAAACTATATATAAAATACAATAATACAAAAATAAAGTAAACTCCGAGGCCAGCTTTACGATAGAAGGCCAAGCATATTTCCTCTATTTTCAACAGAAATTATTGTTTGACAATACTAAGCTATGGCAAAAAGTTTTTGATCTGCAATATTAGTGAGTATTGAAATTTTTACACTGATCTACCTTAAGTCGGTTTACATTGCTTTAGTTTATCGAATAAATCGTACTCAAATCTTTTGTTTGATCAATTTTCAAGAAAATAAATCTAGTTCAATTTTTTTTTTGTTTCTTCATGAACATATGTAAAGATATAAAAACTTTTCTGAAATAGGTAGGAAAGTAGTGTGAGTGGACACACCAGATATTTTTTACTGTAACCTTTTTTATTGTATTTAGGAAGTTTAGGGAGTTTGTCAAGTAAGTGTATTACGAATCGGAATCTACGAACAGTCTTTAGGCGTTTCTGTCTTGTATGATTGCATGTAATGAGCTTTTTAACATGTACTCCTTCCAAAACAGAAAATAAAGTGAGAAAACTATAGTGATTTCCTTGGCTGACGTAATTTTGTCGTTTAATTCTCGTTCATTTTCCCGATATTCATCACATGCGATAATCATTTGAATTTAGGAAACATTGGAACTCGAAATATTGTTAGGAGAGGAACCTATATAACCCCTCCTCAATGCCAGAAATGGCAAAGTAGGGGATATGCTTTTTTGTTTTAGGTGAAATCATGTTTAATGTTATAAAGTAACATTCAAAATTTACAACAATCTTGACAAAACATCAAAATTTAATATACACCTCACATACTCTACAATATCACCTAAACAAATTCTACGACTGGTGCAAACTCTGGAAAATTCGACTCAAACAAGACTAATCACTACATATCACTTTTACCCTTCGAAGTGAAACTTGTCCTGCTATTTACGACAATATCCAAATTCCTCAGACAGACAAAGTTAAATATCTTGGACTAACCTTTGACAGAAGAATGACATGGAGCTCACATATCAAAAACTCTAAATCTAAGACTACGACTATTGTACTCACTCCTTGCAAAACATTCGAAATTAAAACTTAGACAGAAATCGAATACGTATACTTACCTACGTATACTTACCATTTGGACCTACGCCTCACAGATATACGGGACAGCCAAAAAGACCCCCGTATTTTTGTACGTAAACTACAGACTTTTCAACCTAAAACTTTCAGGACTATCACCAAAGCTCCATGATACTTCAGTAACATTACTTTACATAAAGACTTACAGAGGCCAACAGTTAACGACCACATTCGAACATAATACAAAAAAATTCATAATAACTTACACGGACATACCAACTCATTGATTCGGGGCATGGCCACAACTAACATGCCCGTTAGCACCCGAAGGAGGCTTAAAATAAGCTGGAAGAGGGATCTCCTTCACTAAATATAAATATTACATTCAAGACAGAAAGGACGCCGCTGGGCACTCCTCTCCCTCACGATTATTTCAAGACCTATTAATCTTCTACATCTTGACACCACACACGCTGATTGTCGGAACTTTTGACAGATGTGAGTTGAAAAACTAAGTTAATAAAAAAAAAAAAGATTTGTAAATTAAATTACTGAGCCGACCTCAATCAAAGTTATAATTTATACAATGCTGGCTTTTAAGATATGACTAATATCACTATCGTATCATGGTTTTTTATTTATTTTTTTTATTTATTCATGATATTTACAACTGTATTAAAAACTTAAATACATTAAGTAAATTTGATAACAGAAAATAATAACATGAAATGACTTGTTGAGAAACTACCCACTGGTAGCACTCTAAAAACAAAATGTATTTACAATAAGAGATCTCGAGGCCATCTTCTTTTCAGACGCCTCGGAGGGTTATCAGGAATAGAAGAGGAAGCAAGGTTAGAGACGAGAGGATTCGGATGGTTCTGAAGTTTATTATGGAAGGATAGGTATCTGGATTGCCAAATCGGAAACATAAGGTACATTAAGGTCATTATGTATTATTTTATTGCTAACAAAGTAAGGAGCATTGAGGATTTTCCGAAGGATTTTGGATTGTAAGGATTGGATACGAGAGGAATTCGATGGCTTAGTGGAGCCCCAAAGCTCAACTCCGTAAGTCCAAATAGGTCTTATTGTAGTCATATATATAAGTCTTTTGTAATTAACTGGAAGCTTATAGCGTTTGTCTAGTAAGTGTTGAAGTGGTCGGAAACGTCGAGCTGTTTCTTGTCGTTTCAGTCTGGTATCGTATCATGTTAAATGTAGTTTTGTATAAAACAAATTGTGAATTGAGTCTTACAAATGGCTTGGAAATGGCATCATAGCCGAAACGTAGCCGATGTAGAAAAAGTAAAATAAATATGGTGAAATAAATACAGCCTTTACTTTATATAATTTCGTAATTTAACATTTTCACGAAGGAATCGAAGAAAAGTATTGTATTTTTTATAAATTCGTATTGTTGTATTAATTATTTTTTTAGAAAGACAAATCGAAAACAGTTAATAATTAATCTGTTGAAGAGTCGAACAAATCCTTTAGAGTGGAAGGTGAATTTTCCGCATTAATTCAAATTTATGGCAAAAAGCGTTTTAATTATAATGAGAGAGTATTAAATCGGCTTTGCAGCGATGAAAAGTCCAATCAAAGCCGATTAGCTGAAACAATGTTCTGGGTAATTGTATTCCATGTGCAATATGGGCTATTTATTTTGTGTATTTAATGTATTAAAGCAGTTTATTTTGTATATTCAAGTCTCCCTCCCTCTCATCAGGAAGGACGAGGCTAATTGTATAGCCGAAACGAACGTTATTTCCTCCAGCGGTGATTGTTGATTTAATAGCACCCCCTCCCCTTTGATTAGGAAGGCTTTGATAAATCCATTTTAGTTACAATTAGGGGAAGGCTTCCTTTGTACAATTTACTTGGCATCTGAAGATTTTAATTAGCGGTAATAAGAGGAGCCTTTTATCGACCCTTCCTTTGTTTAAAGTTTTTTCTTTTGTCTTTTTTTTTTTTTTTAGTTAAAACTTCTTTAGACGCGTTTTGCACTTTTTTGGGGGGAGTGAATGAAACAGCGGACAGATTTGGATCTGTAACGCTCATTCGGGTGAAGTGTTTTTGCATATGGAGTAAAATATCTCAAAAACTCAGACTTATATACAGTAAGCGAGGGAAATGTTCAGAATTTCTTCCTCTTTCTTATGAGCTATTATTTATAATTTTTATTTCATATTAATAATCTCTACTTGTTGATGTTTTCACTTCTATCGAGAGGTCTAAAACATACATCTTAGTTTTATTTCTTTGTTTGTTTTTATGCCTATAATACCCGCTAGGGTCATTGGCAATCCTCAACTCACTCACACTTTTCATATTCTGTTGTAGAAAACAATTGTTTTCAAGAAGTCCATATGATTTCCACTTCTCTCTCCTTATCCTGCAACACGTCCCGGACAGTCGCATGCATGTCAAGATTCTTTCGGATAACTGCATAATAAATAAATAAATAGATACGTCGATTACAAAATTTACATTATAGCTTTCATTATTGGAAAACAAAATTATGAATATATAATTAAAATGCAATTATATCGACAAGTATTTCCAAGGAAACGTGGTTATATTTACAATTAAGTACTTCTTTATAACCGACTGTCATGACAATTGCTGTTACAGTTAAAATTAGATGAGCACAGTTTTTACCGCGGGCACACATGATCTCACACGAACAAAATGATGCCTGTGGACACGGAGTTGGGATTCCCCCTTTTTTTATTATAATTCATTAAAAAAGTTTTTAACAAATAAATTTTCTTCAAGAATATATATTATTTTACTAGTTTATCTCCAACGGTTCAAAAGTTAGATCAATTATAACTTTATATATCGATTCCGAACATTTACAGAAAAAAATAATTTTTATAATATTCGTTGTTATTATAATTGCTCTAACTATCTATAGATCTAAATCTCTATGTTTATATATATATATAAAGCATATAGGTTATTTGTATATTATTCTAACATAGAAATAAATTAAGTTTTTTAGGAAAAGTTATTTTAATTCTGTCACCTATTTATATCATGATGCTGAAATATATGAAAAAAAATCCAATCCAGTGGCATCCTGAGTAAATTTCAAACAATCCACAAAGTAGGATTTTTAATGTCATCCCTTTTGTGGAAATAAAACATAGCAATAGCATCTATAATTCTTACTTCCATTTCTCCTTTGTCTGAAAAAGCTGATTTCTGATAAGAAGAGGGTGGTAAGCGAAGGCTATATGACGCGTGTACCGCACCAAATTTTTTCATAAGTATAGTAAAATTTAAAAATTAGAGATAAAACTTCTAAATCATTTTTACGACAATAACAACTTTCTTTATTAATACCATATACTTTAATAATACATGATTTCCAAGTCTAATTTAAAGTTTTAAAAACAAATTGGGATTGTTCCAAATCAAATTTAGAACTGTTCAATCTAAATTGGGATTATTTCAAAAAATTTATGTGATGCGTGCAACAGATTTTTTAAATATATATATATATATATATATATATATATATATATATACGTTACCAATATTAAAAAAAATGCTTTTAAAGTTTTCATTAAATAATCTCGATTTTTTTCTTACGGGCTCTCGGACTATTTACATATTCCTACTTAAGCTGATGTAATAGTAATTTATTTTCTACTCAAGTATGTATGAAGTGTTATGAGAGTACCGCACAGAATTTATCGACAAGAAAATCGATAGTAATAAGAATCCAACTATTAAGCCTGAAACAGGAACTTGGAAAGTTTATGTACATTTTTTATATTATCGTCTGACGAGGCAACTTATCTAGCTTCCTCTGAATCGGACTTAGGCCGTCGACAGCCAATTTGTTATGCGGATCGAGATGAGTTTTCCGATTGGAGAGGAAATAATCGATTATAGTTAGTAAAAGTTGTGGAGAGGTATTAGCATCCGCAAATTGGTTGCCGGCTACTCAAGTAGGCCTCCGTTTCGAATCTAAACTAAAGCCATCAGTTTGGAGTGGGGAGGGAGGCCTGGCTCGAGTACCAGGGCTCAACCTATCGATTATTCATCTCTTCAGCCCGAGTTTGATTGCCTCTTACAGATTCGATATCGATTTGTCAAAGATTCGATTTATATCGTTCTTTACCGTAATTGAAATGAAGAATAATATTTAAAAAAAATAAATTAGTATAATTATTTTATAATGGGGTATAGAGAAATTTAAGTTTTATTTTTTATTAATTCGTGAAATTTACAACTGTATAATATACATATACATCTAGTAAATATGTATAGAGAAATACAATAACATGAAAAGAATTGTAGAGAATATAAATTAAGAGATAACGAGGCCATCTTCTTTTCAGACGCCTCGGAGGTTTATCAGGGATAGAATAGGAAGCAAGGTTGGAAACAAGTGCGTTCGGATGGTTCAGAAGTTTATTATGAAAGGATAGGTATCTGGATTTGGCCAAATCGGAAACATATGGAACATTAAGGTCTTTATGGATTATTTTATTTGGGACAAAGTAGGGAGCATTGAGGATTTTACGAAGGATTTTGGATTGTAAGGATTGGATATGGGAAGAATTTGATGTTTTTGTATGTCCAAATGGGCATGATGATGGTAGTGTAAATGAGTTTTTTGTAGGATATTGGAAGTTTAGAGCGTTTGTCAAGTAAGTAGTAGTCGGAATCTGTTGGCAGTTCCTTGTCTTTTAAGTCTAGTATGAAGATTCAAGGTAAGGCGTTTGTCAAGAAGGAGTCCTAGGTAACGGATCTGTTCGACAGGGATCAGAAACATATGGTACATTAAAGTCGTTATGGATGATATTGTTTGTGACAAAGTAGGAAGCATTGAGGATTTAACGAAGGATTTTGGATTGTAAAGATTGGATACGAGAGGAATTTAATGGTTTAGTAGAGCACCATAGCTGAACTCCGTAAGTCCAAATAGGCCTTATTATAGTAATATATATGAGTCTTTTGTAAATAGTTGGAAGTTTAGAGCGTTTGTCTAGTAATTGCTGCAGTAGTCTTATAATATAAATATACATCTAGTAAATATGTTCATAGAAATAGAATAATATAAAAAGAATTGTAGAGAATCTAAATTAGGAGATAACTAGGCCATCTTCTTTTCAGACGCCTCGGAGGGTTATCAGGAATCGAAGAGAAAAAAAGGTTAGAAACGAGAGGATTAGGATGGTTCTGGAGTTTATTATGGAAGGACAGGTATCTGGATTGAGCCAAATCGGAAGCATATGGACATAAAGATCGTTATGGATGATTTTATTTGTGACAAAGTAAGAGGTATTGAGGATTTTAAGAAGCATTGTGGATTGTAAGGATTGTATACGAGAGGAATTCGATGGTTTGGTGGAGCCCCAAAGTTCAATTCCGTATGCACAAATAGGCCTTATCATAGTGTTGTATATGAGTCTTTTGTAGTTAATTGGGAATTTAAAGCGAATAACGAATAAAGTAAAGTAAAAACAAAAATCATAGCAGAATAAGATGGGAATAAATTAAAATATTATTTTTAATAAATACAATAAAAAATAAATAAGTTACCTGACAGTTGGTTTCAAGGTCTGCATAGTAACCTATAGGGCGGCCGGAGCATGAAAAGGCAGTGATTGGGATATCGGGAGATGCTAAGATCCTCTGCGTCTAAAAAATAAAATATATATAATTTAATAATAAATTATTATAAACATTAGAAACATCAAACTAATAAGAACAAATAAATAGTTCATCTGGAACTAATACGTCCAGTTTGAAAACATATCCAGTTTAAATCTTTCTACTATATAAAAAAGTTTATAGTGAAAATATAAAATATATTGAAACCAGGGGACGAGCGGAAAGCAAAGAACAGAATACTGAAAGTATAATAGTTTATGGGCTATGATTTTTTAAATTCTACTTTAGCTTGCACTGTTTTTAAGAAGAAGAGAGCAAGAAAATATCTTAAAAGAAACCCCCCTGAGGTTTTTGCGCCATAGATCTTAAGGGCACCCCTGGATAGAAACACTCACCTTCCAGGAAAATATTATATTTCGAAATTACGTGTAGTTGTAAACTACACATGAATTCGATTATAAAATATAGTTTATAAATATAGTTCAATTTATGAATTCAGTTTAAAATGTTATCTCAGTAGAGAAGTAATGGGGGAGCTGGGGCACCGAATTGCACAGCCGAAATTACGAAATTACGTGTAGTTGTAAACTACACATGGATTCGATTATAAAATATAGTTTATAAATATAGTTCAATTTATGAATTCAGTTTAAAATGTTATCTCAGTAGAGAAGTAATGGGGGAGCTGGGGCACCGATTTGCACAGCCAATCAGAAGCCAGGATTTCAGTGACGTCATCATGGCGGGAAGTTTGAATTTGAGTTTGAACAACGGCACGCTGCCTTTTAGCACCTCTAACCAGCCTTAACCACCACGTGGTCAGTCACGTGACCACCAGTCACGCCCCTTTTCGATCCTGTGACCCTCATATTTCCCTCCCCCCCACCCCTCTCTCTAAGAGGCTGAGTGTACCCGACCGCCATCTTCTTTCCATGTACTTACGAGGTTTGCATCTCCTATGACGTCACGAGGTCCCCTTTTCGATCCTGTGACCTTCATATTTTCTCCCCACCTCTCCCTTAAAGAGGCTGAGTGTACCCGACCGCCATCTTCTTTTCATGTACTTACGAGGTTTGCATCTCCTACGACGTCACGAGATCCCCTTTTCGATCCTGTGACCCTCATATTTTCCCCCAACCCTCCCTTAAAGAGGCTTAGTGTACCCGTCCGCCATATTGTTTTCATGTACTTACGAGTTTTACGCCTTGTATATCGTCACGCCCCTTTTCTATCCTGTGACCCTTACATCCCCCCCTCCCCACTCGTCACTAAAAGGTTAAGGCCGGCCGCCATTTTGTTTTACTGTAGACTTCCTAATGTTTATCTTCTATATAACCTTCCTATTTTTCAATTGAAATCTTATTTACTGAATAGCTATTGATAAAACGGTAAAGAATTGCCTGCTCTGATTTCATTACAAATATATGATATTTATCATTAATTAATTATATAATAGCAATCATTACTAGTAATGAAAATAATGATAAGAAATAAACTTAAAATCAGAGATAAATTCTCAATTCTTAAAATGAGCCTTTCATTTGACAGAATGACTAACTTCAATTTCAACATTTTTATTATTAATTTTAGTGATATTTCTTGTGGGAAAATTTATATCTTTATTCACCGTTCTATATTTATCAACCACCTACCCTGGAATCAACTTACTGTCTGTACAGATATTATAAATTTCCCAACTAGAAATATCACTAAAATGACTACTCAAAAATGTTGAAATTGAAGTTGTCATTCTGTCAACTGAAAGGCTCAAATAATATTTTATCATCTTTCTCTCACGAGACTTATACTTCATATTGAAAACCATTATTTTTCAGAAGGTGGGTGATGTAGATAATTGTTAACATTGTATATTAGAATAGAATACAATATAAAATAAACTTTATCCTGGGACGATGTCCGCTTAGAATAACAATAATGAACAGTTACAAAAGAAAAAATACATATCTGGCCAACAACTAACCTAATAAAGATTTAAACGATATATACAACAACTTAAATAATAGTATGTAAACAATTAAAAAATCTTTTCAACTATACTTATAATTGTACCGGAAACAATAACAAAAAGAAAATGAAAAAACAAAACAAAACAGCATTACATGTACAGAAAGAAAAAGCAAAACCAACAGAAAAGAAAAAATATCAAAAGTACGTAAATAAAAAGTATTGACTTGTTATGTTAAAACCCAAACAGCTAAAACATACAAACTATATAAATAGATTAAAGATATATTAATGACAGGATGAGCAAGGGGATCACGATATTGCATGATCCCGGCATACAAGATATAAAATAACAATAAATAGGTATATACAATTAGGAAGGGACACTAAATTAATTTTATGAGAAAGCAATTGTGACAAGAATAAACAAAAAATAAAACAAAATAATGGTGTATGAAAAGAAAAGAAAAAAAAATTACCTTGTTACATAATACACAATTAACCAGCATCTGACTGGATTGTGAAGAAGAATTGGAATAAGAGGGTTTTGAATGTAGATAAGGATGGTACATGGTGGATTTTAAGTGGGATGGAATTTCAAAAGGTGGAGGACAATAAAGAAATGTTGAAATGAAGCAGATCTATGGAAAGGGGTGTAAAGGTCAAAAGGACGAGATCTTGTGGAGAGGGAGTGGATATATGATTTAAATTGGAGGAGATGGTATACATACATACAGCTGTGTAAGATTTGTGATCGGGGCCCCAAGATACTCCCATGTTTCTCACCACTATGCTGAGTTAAAGTGGCTTTTCCCCTCCTTCCGAAGACAATATTTCCTAGGTACGTTCCTCTACCAAATCATCAACAGCCATCGTCCTTCTTACGCCTACAACCTTCTCCAGTTCAAATCCTCAGTCCATTCCCTGTCCACAAGATCTCGACCTTCTAATCTTTACATGCCTTCTCACAGATCTGCCTCATTCCAAAATTCCTTTGTTGTTCGCTCTGTCAATTTCTGGAATTCCCTCCCTATCAAAATTCGACATTCCCCAACCATATCCAAATTCAAAATCCTCCTATTCCAATTCCTATCCCAAGAACAGTCAGATAGTTGCTAACCATTCGAGCTGATTTTAATAGAGAATTTGATACATACAAATTCATTGATTGATTCATTGATACATTTTTATTTTTTAATTCTTTATTATTTTCTTAAAAGTGTATACTAGTGCAAATAGCTGTAAGTGCCTTGTCATAGTAATAATTGTTTTGTATATAGTTTCGTTTTTTTTTATATAGAATGTTTACCTTATATTTTTTTTACATTATTTCTTTTTTTCGATTGATTTTATTTTGGCCAGATGTGATCTTTTAATTTTGTTCTATTTTGTTATTCTCAAGGGACTGTGATCAACGATTGTTGATTATTTGGTAAAGATTAATTATTATAGACATAACCTTAAAGACTTGTTGTTAAATTTTAACTACCTGAAAAAAATGGTATGTATTAATTAAATTAAATCGAAACTCCACTATCATATGTATTGCTATTCTTAAGATACAAATAAAAAACATTTTTATTTAACATTATTTCAAACTAGGATGCTAAATCGAGAATATTTTGCCGCCAAGGTGAGCAGTACCAGCGAAATAGTACCTTTAAAGGAAAAGGAATCGAATGGCAGAAAGTCTTTGTGTAAGCATCTCTACACTGAAAGGTAGAAGAGATCATCGAAGAAGAAGAATTTATATATATTTATCCTTATCATAAACTTAAAACAAAATAAGGGGAATTAATATTTAATAACCTTTAGAGTCTATAAAATATCAACACTCAACTGTAAGTAGGATTGAAAACAAAAAAAAAGTAGCCCTGAATCAAATTATTGGCGATAAATCTCCCTTATCTTTCTCTTTAAGAAGTTTTCTACTTCTTCTTAAGGACAAGAGTTCACGTTTATAAGAAACTTTTTCAAGCGGCTTAAGATCCGAACCTCGTCACAACTTTTTAATTCAGATAATGGAAATTAACTTTTTTCCTTTCTTTTAATTTATTAAAAAACTTTAAATATCCCCTCCTCCTTATGAACTACTAATAATGCCCCTTAAGTATCTAATAAATCTGAATTATTAAAAAAAATTTCTTCTTTCAATTTTTAGATGTTGAGAGTGATCATGTGTTTAAAATCTCATTCATATTTTGAATCGACAGACCTTAAACAAGCGACTGAGAATACTGTATTCACTTTTTTCCAAATCTTTTTATTTTTATTTTAATGGAATTTACAACTGTATTACATTAAACATACAACAAGTAAATGTGACATTGGTAACATGGCATGTACAACATGAAGAGAAACTACCCATTGGTAGAACTCAAATTAGAGTTCTATATTAGAAGGTCCCGAGGCCATCTTCTTTTCAGACACCTCGGAGGGTTATCAGGGATCGAGGAGGAAGCAAGGTTTGAAAGGGTTCAGATGGTTCTGGTTTTTAATGGAAGGATAGGTATTTGGATTGGGCCAAATCGGAAACATGGAACATTAAGGTCTTTATGGATGATTTTATTTGTGACAAAGTAAGGAGCGTTGAGGATTTTACGAAGGATTTTAGATTGGATATGAGAGGAATTCGATTGTTTAGCGAAGCCCCATAGCTCAACTCCGTAAGTCCAAATAGGCCTTATTATTGTCATATATATAGGACGTTTGTAATTGATTGAAAGCTTAGAGCGTTTGTCTAGTAAGTGTTGGAGTAGTCGGAAACGTCGAGCAGTTTCTTGTCGTTTCAGTCTTGTATGAGGATTCCATGTGAGTCGTTTGTCCAGGTGGTAACGGATTTGTTCAACTGGGATAAGTGAAGTATTGTTAAAGGAAACTGAAGGACATTTTCCAAATCAAAATTGAAAATCAGACAAAACCTCAATACATACTCACCTACTCAAACCCATATGGACATACTCCTCACAAATTTACGGTTCTGCAAAAAAGACACACTTACAAAAACTACAGACATTTCAATCCAAAATTTTACGACTTTTAACAGGAGCTCCTTGGCATGTAAACAACAAAACTCTGCATAACGACTTACGACAACTATCGACCAACACATACGCGATCTGTACTCCAGATACTTCTTAAACTACACGGACATCACAACATACTTATTAACGACATGGCCACAGCTGACATGCCTATCAGAAGACGATTAAAGAGGAGCTGGATGGGAGATCTCCTTTCTCGAATTAAGGAAATAATTCAAGACCAGTAAGAAGCGCTGCTGGGTACTATTTTTTTCTACATTCTTAAAATGTCAATTTTTCGTATTAGTTACAGCACATCTGCTTATTGTCAAGCTCATGACAGGTGTGAATGGAAATATGAAGACAAAAAAAAAAAATTTGAATCGCAACAGCAATGTCGCGATAGTGAGACATATACGCTTTTAGAAAATCTGGTGATGGAAAATGACAGATATGAAACAGCTGACTAAATAATTGAAAATTAAAAAAAAAAAAAAACAACTGGTGTGATAATTATTTAAAATAGGAAACTCATTTAGAAAAATAATATCAGGTAAGTAGGATCAATATAGCTTCTACATCATTCCTATTATTTACATAATTATCTATATTTCATCTATATGTCTATGAGCAATAGTTCAGGAATAAAATCCACAGTAGAAGCCGTTATTTAAGTATAGTTGTTGAAAAAAAAGGAACGCCAAAGCGAAAGAATTTGATAAAATTTCTATTGGACCATCAAGATATGAAAACTCTTTTATTACAAAAGTCCAGGAAAATATTATATTTTGAAATTAATAAAAGTTATGTCCTTCACACAGATTCGTCTATAGAATAAAGTTTACAAATATAATTCAATTTACGAATCCAGTTTAAAATGTAATATAATAAAGTTTTTAGTGACTTTCATATTTTATTTTAATATTAGGGGAGCAGGAGATTAAGAGAGATCTCCTATTAGCACTACAATCAGCACTAATTATACAGCTGTTCATTTAATTACATATGTGTTGAGCTCCTGTAATCTCTTACTATCCTAATATAAAATAGAGATTTACACCCTGGTGTCTTCGTTACAGTATTGAGTTCCTATAACTTCCTACTACCTTAATACAAAATAAAGATTTTAGATCAAAAATCCGTACTGAAAATGGTATACATCTGGAGGTAATAGTTTGATTTTACCTAGGGGACTGCAGTTATTTTTGGATTTAAACATTTTCTCCTTGAATATAACATAATATTATTTAAATTATATTGTTATATAATTATAATTATTATGAAATAGAAAAGGAATCACGATATAGCGTACAATGAAAATATTAGAAACGAAAGGCTCAAATTGATGATATAACATGTTGTTGGGCTTATATGAAGCTGGAAAAAGTCAAATATATATTATGGTTACAAATTGGCAATAAGAATAATTATAATTATATAATAATATAAATTGGTAATAAGGCGCGATGTATATTACAGATTTTTTATAAAACTAAAATTTTCTCATAAATAAAATCATCCATAACGACTTTAATGTACCATATGTTTCCAATTTGGCCCAATTCTAATAAACTCATATGCTTGAAGTACCAAATGTGAAGTAAAACTATAGACATTTTATCCGTATAAGCATTACTGTTCCTATAATGACCGTTATCAAAAACAATTTTTTTAGCTCACCAAAAATTGAATCTATATTCCGCAACTGATGTAACAAGAAATTTAATACAAGTAAAAATAGTTCTGAAAAAAAATAAAAAAAGGAATTTCTAATATTTTTCAATGAAAATGTTTCCTCATTCATATAACCGATTGAACTCAATTGAATCAACCATGTTTAAAAGATAGTTCATAGAAAATGTTATTCTAAAAACTTAAAAGTTTTACCAGAATTGTCCGATTAGAAAAAAACAAAAAACAATAAGGATCAAAGGAAATAAATAGGGGACCAAAACAGGAGGAGTTGTTTCAAGTGGCAATTAATAAAATTCGTGGCACAATAAACTTGAACCATCCGAACTCTCTCGGTTCGAACATCCTCTTCGATCCCAGATAATCCTCCAAGCCATCTGAAAAGAAGGTGGTCTCGAGATTTTCTATTGTAAATACATTTTTAGAGTGCTACCATCTGCTAGTTTATCAACAAGTACTTTTATGTTATAATTTACTGATTAAAAAAAAAAAAATTGTCGGAACTGTTGTTTCGTTCAGTTTATTTACATATACCAGCGAGAATTTTCGATTCAGAGCACAAATTATGTAAACTTTCCAATTAAACAAATTAAATTTCATTAATAATCGTAAAATAATATGATAATTATATGAGAATGATGTTTTGTTACGTAATCACCATTTAATTAATCAGCTAATTTAGTTAGATAGGCATTTCACTCGACTATCACGCAAAACTTGCTATTTCGAAATAACGCCCATCATAGCATACTTCACACTGTCTTACAGTGTTAATCATTTAAAGGATAGCTATTGCAGCTAAATTCCAACTTGTACCAAGATAACTTGCAAAGAAATCATGTACTTGTACTTGATACAAACAAAACATGAATTTGATTTCAAAAACGCCAAAATCCTGCATAATGAAACTAATACAAATAAACGTAGAATAAAGGAAGCAATATACCTAACTAAAAAATAAAAAAAAACTCGGTAAATAATCATACAGACGTGGATAATATGAATACATTTTACGCGAGTTCAATTGAAAAAATAAAAATTTGAAATGAATTAGTTAATTTTACGTAAAATAGGTCCGCATATAATATTGGAAAACATCATTGTATATGTTTTAAAATAAATAGTCTTCCCCTACTCCTTTAAGAATAACCAGTCACTGAATAGAAATGAGACTGATAACATGTCGGTGACAAATGATAAGGTAATTTTAACTTAATTGAATCATTTAATAAGAAATAACTGAGTAATAATAATATTATAAAATAATTAAAGGTGGACATGACAAAAATAGAAAAAATTATTATGAGTGGACGCATGCAATTCGCATAAGTGAAAAAGACAGGTACATGATGGGTATTTTGGTATATAAAAAGGAACTCTATATTTTGAAATATGTAATGTTGTAAATATATTTGTAAATTGTAAAAAAAATGTTAGACTTGAAAATGGCTCAACGAACCGAAACGTCGTAATTAGATGTTGATGTATTTAGGTTGACAAAATTTTAAAAATTGGTGTAAAATTGGCTGATAATAAACTTGAAGATAACTTTTGGTGTATCCCATTGAATATTGAATATCTTAAAATGGATCTCCAGAATCTCGATTAATGCTGAAATACTCACATTTCTGTTTTATAGATGAGATATCCCATCTCCGATAGAACTCCCGAGATAGGTTTCAGAGTTCCAACCCGGGCAGGATGACGAGATGGAAGAGGAGATAGCGCGCGGTGGTTGTGCAAGAAGGACACCAGTCCAGGATGCAGGACCTCCCAGGAAATCAGCTTCCTCTCCGCTCTAACTGTTATTCAAATAAATTATTATTAGCTCTGATGCCTGCTCCATATAGTCATGGTAGCAGTTGGTCAACCGTTAATAGAGTAGATTCCTATTGTTTCTCTCTTCATCTTTACAAACATATATATATATATATATATATATATATATATATATATATATATATATATATATATATATATATACATATAGATCTCAGACTAAGGGTATACAATGCTATGATAAAGCCAGTTTTAATATATGGCTGTATAAGGCGACCTGGACACTAAACAGCATCATAGAAAAAAGTGTTAAAAGAATCGAGAGGAAAATCCTCGGCACGATAACCGGAGCGCTCAGGGATCGGAGTAATAACACATGGAGAAGAAAGACCGATACAACACGGATATAGCTGGGGCATGTAGCAATCCATCTGGAAGCCTCTACATAACAATGAATGCCTCAATAAAAGGCAAAAGACCACGTAGAAGGCCAAAAAACAGATGGGTAGATAGAATCAACAAAGATGCAACAGAACTAAGTGCAAATAAATAGAAAGAAATAGCCGAAGACAGACAATGATCAAGCAGGCTTGTTAAGGCGACAAAAGATCTGCATGGCCTGTGTCATCTCCTATATTGTATTTCTACCAGATACGGTAGTTCAGTCCTTCAAGTCTCAAAGAAAATCTATACTCCAGACTCTTGCAGGAGAAATAGAAAAACAGCAACTCCAGTTATACAAATTTGACCAAACCTCACTAACAATGGTCATTGATAGTCGATATCGTAAAAATATGGATATTTATGCTCCAAAATTCGATACTTTACCATCGATAGTATCTCCATCGATATTACCGTCTAACGGTATTGCCTCTTCGATATTTTAATATTTTAATCTAAAATAAAAATTAAAACTATTGTTTTCATAATGCTTTAGTATACTAATATATAAAATATACTCTTGTTGCCATATCGAATGTAGTATTTAGTAAAGTAAAATATTGATATTTCGATAATATCGACTATTGATGGCTATCCTTAAGTAGAGTTGAATCGCGTCGGTGGGACCTTACTCACTCAGCAAAATCAATTTGCCCAAATTTGTTAGTTAGAACCTTATCAAACGAAGGCCATGAAATTGCCGAAGAAATCTATGTAGGATACAAATAAATTTGCATTCAGTTGAATCCGATCTATGGGTGAATGGAAGGCATAATTAGTTGAATGGAAATTTCTGAAAAAACTGAGGATGAATAAGATGGGCAGGAACAAGAAAATTAATTTCACGAAGGAGGGTAAAAGAATTAATATTTCTATTAATTTATTTACAGATAAAAATAACATCTGTTTTGATGGGCCTATGTGCTAGAGAATCAATAATTATATTGATATTAATATTTCAAAAATGTTTGCAATATCGATGAAAATATCGACTATCAATATTTCAAGCCTGATATTTTGATGTTATCGATAGTTACAGGCCAATATTAATATCGATATTGGACCTTCGATATCCCATTCCTACTTGGCGATGAAGTTCTACGGTCGTCTGTAGGATCTCAGGAAGATCGTCGAGTTTATACTCTTAATCCTGGACCTCACCGTTTGAGGGAACTTCGAAGAAGAATATATGGCACCCATATTCTTAATAATAGACTTCTATATTCTTAGTAATTTAGAAAACTACAAACCAACGATCTTTTCATCGAATAAATGTGTCTTGAACGAATACGATAATCGGTAAGTGAAAGGATATTTTACAGTGGGATAAGCTATTTATTAAATTGTTACATTAACATTTGTGGTAACAGAGAAAAGCATAGCTGTTAAATGTGAGAGTTTTCTCTGGAGTATACAAATAAAACATATTTAGTCTAAACATAAAAATGAACAATTTTTCATTATATTGAATGTAATTCATACATAAAACTGTAACTGTTATTATGAATTGTAACAATTATTACGAATGATAATTCCTCCCATTTCGCTTGCGCGTAGCCTTGGAGGGACGAGCAGTACAAAACGTAAATAGGAATTACATCATGTAACGAGCATTACAATTGGCTTAATCTTCTGTAACAGCTGTTACCATTGGAGCTCTCTCAATGAGGATAATTCACCTCTTCAGTCATATTATCTTGTTCCTCGTGATTATTATAATATATTAACTAACTATTTTAGTAGAACACTATCACATTTTTTTTGTTACCTTGTTGGTTGAATTTATATAAAGGTTGTGTAATAATTGCACCACAAATAAACAACTTTTTTACTATATTATCAACAATTATAAAAAAATTAAATGAATGCATTAAAAAATAAAATAATAATCCTATTTACAATATTAAACAAAAAAGAAAAAGTACACTATAATATAGTGATAAATATAAGAAAATTATTATTACATTTTTTTCATGAATGAAAAAATATAGACATTCTGTCATATGGGCAATAGTTATATGTATGAATTCCAAGCAGGCTTGTCCCTTCAACTACAGAGAGAAAAAGCAGGCTTCAGGAGATCTCTCTGATATTCTCTCAACCTCATTACTGATACTAAAGCCATTGCAGATTGAGTGAGAGCGCTTTAGTCACGTATATTCATATCTTGAGTGGGGAATCAAGCCGTTGCCAGAACTCCAATATATATATATATATATATATATATATTACAAAAGGTCGAGGGGCAATTGTCGTTTTAACTATCTTGGAGGCTTATAGGAATAGGTGGTGCTAGATAGGGATTGTGCAAGGGGATTTGGATGATACGTAAGGTTCTACTGAAATTTACAGATTTTTTCTGGGGTAAGGTCTTGGGAAAAATGGGATATTGAGGTTATGGTGTTGGATAGAGTTTTGTTAGTTAAAAAGAATGGAACATCGACTATTGTTCGAAGGACTTTGGACTGAAATAATTGGATGCGTTTAATATTAGAAAATGTCCCTTTCTCCCACAATTCTATTCCATAGATCCAAATAGGTTTCAGGATTTTCTTGTAGATCAGTAATTTGTTGTCAATTGAAAATTGAGATTTTAAAATCAGTAATCTGCAGAGGTTTATATTACTGACTAGAAAATCTCAACTTTCAATTGACAATTAATGTATATACAGAATTCCTAAGGGCATCATGGAGAATATTTTAGCCAAGTTTCATTAAAATCGTTACAGTTTTGGCGTTTCTAGACTAAAGCTCGTCAATAGCTATATACTTGAGTCTTGGTATGATGTGTCTTCAGTTAATAATACTAAAGAATTCTGTTACTGAGAGTATAGGAGTCATATCTAGATATTTTTTTATTTATTAAAAATATCAAAGAGCATCTTTCTATATTATTTGAATTGTCCAGGGTCTCAAATTCTTTTCCTCTATTTATCTTTTCCAATAGATTTTAGATCATCGAAGAATACCATAAATAGCAATATTTAAATTTTTAAAACCTAAATATTTGATAATTATCCCATGGAATCCATAGCACCTAAAATATTTTTACTACGAATTTTTTATTTTATTTTTTAAAAATTTATTAATTTAGAATTATAACAATCTGTCACTTGGACAATAGTTGAACACATGAACACATTCACACCATATGTGCAGAAAATATAAAATTAACAAAAGTAACATAATAATCAAAAACTATGTACAATAAAAAAAATAAAACAACCTAGACATAAGTAAATTAAAACAATAAAAAAACCGTCATACCTATATACAATAAGGCTGGGAACCCCAAGTCAGGTCTCTCCCCTAACTATAGAAGGAAAAGTAGGACTCCAAGAGATCCCTGTGCTACTCTCAACCGCATCACTGGTCCTAAAGCCAGTGGAGTTTGAGCGAGAGCGCTATAACCACGAATTACGTCTCATTAAAAAAATTGTACAATATTTCGACTTTAAAAAAATATTCCCTCTCGATCCGCCGACTATTGAAACTATCTAAGTTTTGAAATCTTTTAATTTTTCCAATGACATTTATTGTTTAAATTTTTAGTAAAATGCATTCCTCACTTCTCTATGAAATTATTTTTTATTTGATACCTATTTCATCAAAATCTATCTTGAGGGTTGGAAAATCATTTTTTGTTATACTCCGACATCGGCCAGGTGAACACAATTTCTACCTCCCTCGTAGAAGACACAACTACACCGAGGCTATGCAAATAAGGGACCAGCCGACGCTGTCAGATCTGCTTTATGGCGGAGGGGGTTCAGTAATGTTACTTGGGAACATTAAAAGGTGTAGGAGAGGTTATCTACGAGTGGGGGAACCTATGATTTATCTTCAGGTGTGGGAGGTACTTTACCTGTCTTTAATGCCTAATGGCTGGTTGTCACAGCTGGGTTCGTAGCAGGCGATATGGCTGGTAGGATTACTGAAATAACCAAAAGGTTCAAACCTGAAGGAAGGTACTGTCTGTGTATATATTATAGAATAAAAAGTTAATCACTTACTCACTATTTTTTTTTATTACTACTTACCTCACCATTTCTAGCATACAGTGGCTAAACTGTTCTAAAGATACAACCAAATCTATTCTAACCGGAGTTAGAAGGTCGAGATTAATTTCGAATAATAAACTTCAACGAGCTTAGGTCGGATAAGAACCGGTGCCGGTAGAAGCGGACAACGCTTTAACTCGCTTGTATATCTCCATAACCCTTAAATTGTTCTGATGGAAAATCTGGTAGTGTTCTTCCATCGACTCACTCGGGTCTAGATCTATGGATTATGGCTACTCAGAATCAACAGGAGCACGAGGAGCTATATTTGTTTTCCCTGAAACAGACCGTCCATAGACCAGACCTCCGTGCTTTGACACTCTGGAAAACCACGCTCTGATTCCCGATTACATGGGGAAGACCAAAACACAACTCCTTCGCCCGGACGTTGTGAGTTGTGTCTAGTAGACTAATGGGTCTCACATTCTTGAAGAAAAGTGAGAGAAATTTATAATTAATTAAATATTTTATATAGATATATTTACAACTTATATATGTATGTATATATATATATATATATATATATATATATATATATACGTGGGAGACCAAAAACCAGATGGATAGATAGGATAAACAAAGATACGGCTGAGCTTCATAGAGCAAATTGGAAAGTAGAGCCAACCGAAAAAAAATTATATATAATTTTATTCATATCGCTGATCCTGCGGAAAAAAAGACTAAAAATATCATAATTGTGGATTGATGGTTGACTAGTGAATAATTGAAGCGAAAAATGGTTGGAATGATCAGTCAAAAAAGTGTATTCTACCAATATTTACTAGTCTATTGTCTACCGTTTTAATTTTAATTGTTTATCATTCAATGTTCGTAGTTTCTCATATCTATTGTTAACTGGTTTTTTCTTTGCCCTGATGAAGGCCTGAACTTTGGGCCGAAACGTCGGCAAAAATAAAAATAAATCGGAAAATCATATATTTTATAACAGAGGCAAAATAATCAAATAAAATATTTATACTGAATTTATATAAGTGATTACACAAGTAAAAAAATCTTCTATCCATTCAAATTTCGCTTATATTATATTATGACGTCGAATCGATTAGACAGGGTTTTATGACAATTTAACGTGATTTTTCAAAATTTTAAGCGTTGCGTCTTTGTTTCTCCCAATGAGCAATAAATAAAAATTATTGTTTCTCTCAAAATGTATTGTTGATATCATAACATAATTCTTGATTTTTTAAAATTTAATTTTCTTTTTTCTGATTACTGCAGATATGTTAACATATTATTTTTACGTACCTATTCTATATAACCAGGAATCTGTCACGCGCAGAGACAATCGCGTGTGGATTCATCACCTGAAACGAAACAGCGGGGAATGGGCGGTCACGAAACGTTCGAACCATGCTCAACGAATCGGAGCTAAATATCGATTCGCAGATCGAACGGTCCAGTTGAATCGATTCTGTGAGAGATAATCTAGGGTTGCCTCCTAATCGATGAAATTACACCCTGCCTTGACAATCAGGAAAATGCCGAACGTGGCATTTTCAAGTTCAAGTTTGCATATTCAGGTTTATCGCTGCTACTAAATCAGAGCTACATAATTAAATATTTGTGATATTTAAAACAATAAATTGTACTTTTTCTGAATAAATAATATGTTCATCTTTGTTGATTTAAAAATTAACTTAATCTTCGTTACTTATTCGTTTTTTGATGATTTAAATATAAATCGTGGAATAAAAAAAATATAATAAAATATTACTTATCATACTAAAAAAGAAGCATTAATCTAGAAAAGAGACACAATATAATTATGCAGTAAATGTAAACTTTTAAATGTTTTTCTAAGATTGAAAAAAAAAGTATTTAAAATCCCCCAAATCAAGCCAATGCCATTGTTTAAAATACTATTTCATAGTCCTTGTGTGAAAGAAGAAGTGAAATATAAAACACTTCATGGATATGTTTATAACCTCAAATATATTTACTATAAAATATTAACTCTAGATAAGTTATTTTTAAATAATTAGGTATCTATCGGACGTTTATTCCAAAACATCATCAAGTAACCTTTTAGAAAATTAAATTGGTCTTGCAACAGTTAGGCAGTCTTGGTCTTGGTCTTGCAAATTGCAAGACCAAGACCGATTTTGGGCAACACTAATATAACAAAGGGCAGAAAGACCAAGATAACTTATATGGATAAAAAAAAGAAAAAAGGATAAGGAAAAAAAAATATTGCTGTAGACATCTCACGAACCCATCCAAATACATACTGATGAAAAGTAAAGGTTCTATGAACACAGTTAAGGAAGATTATAAAGGACAGCTGATTAGCAGAAATACAAGGAGGAACAAAAAATATGTATGCATAACAAAAATTTAATAATAAAAAAAAGTATAAAATAAAATAAAATAACATACTACCGTATTCAGTGAGTTTTGTTGAGAATATATGTTATATATACCTTCGAGCTATTTCTTTTGAATTTATTAATTTGTTATTTTAATTTCTTTAACAGGTATTTTTACTTTCACTTACCTATATATGAAATATATGGCAAGGGTAAATTGCATATTGCGATCGTGAAATTTTTTGAGTCTGAGTTTTCAATGGAAATACACGTTTTGAGGTTCCCTGAGTCCAAATAACCAAGTCCAACAAAATGGTCTGTGTGTGTATGTGTGTGTGTGTGTGTGTGTGTGTGTGTGTTTTAATAGTCTAGCTCAAAAACGAAAAGTCGTCCGGAAGTGATATTGGATATTTAAGGTTTTTACATGCTAGGGATGTTATAGCAACTTCTTCGTCAAAATCGGCTAGCCAGGAAATTGCACTTTATATCATGGCCTAAACACATTTTTACGATTAACTCTAAAACGGCACTAACCATTATATCAGTGTAAAATTTAATAGTTATAAATAAAATGTGGTTGTCATTCTGATTGATGTTTTCTAACAGGGCTTAAATGGCTAATTTTCAATATTAGCTTCCCCTAAAGTACTTTTATTTTTTTTTATTTGAAACAATTGACTATTTCAAATTAATCTATAATACAAAAGATATAATCTATAATATTTAAATATGGAATACGAAAACATTTGATAGTTAACTAAAGGAGAAATAAGAGATCGTAACGGAGAATAGTTGTAATTGAGGAACCAATGAAATACAAGCGCATCCGAGTTCGCCCAAAGATTGGAACACGCTTCCAAACGTAACATGAACTTCATACAATAAGAACTCCGACAATATTTTGTAAATATAAATATGCGGTTTTCATAAATGCTATTGTTGGTATTATTTAATATTTAATTGTATAGATTGCAGCTATATAAATATTAAAATTTGTACATATAACGGCACTTATACAAATAAAAATAGCCACAATGAAATATAAATTAATATAGCGTTTATAAATTTTGCTTTCACTCCCTCCTAATTTGAAAATACTTTCTGTTAAGAAGATGGTGGTGAGTGAAAGTTGTGTGATGCGCGCACCGCACCAGATTTTTTTTTTTTATTAAAATGCATTTAGTTATGCATATTTTTTTCTTTCTTTGTATTTCTGCTAATCAGCTGTTCTATATAACCTTCCTTACTTTTGCTAATAGAAATTCTTCTTTCATTATGTATTTGGATAGCTTCGTGAGATGTCTACAGCAATATTTTTTTTTCTTTCTGAATATAAGAGGTTTTGGTTTTTCTTGTCTGATGATGCCTGAATTGGCGAAACGTTGGCAAGTAAACTATTCACCTTTATTATTAATTATTAAAATTACTTCTGAAAGAAATGTATCATTTAACTTAATTAATTTAATTTATTAAATACTCTATTACTATTACAGAATACAATAAATTAAATATGAAAATAAATATGACTAAAAAACTACATTAACAAGACAAAACATGACAAGATGTTTCACGAAGATCGCATACCATAGGTGTTGTGTACGTAACGAATCCTTTTGAATCAGACAATTCCTATTTTGGTCTAGTCACAATTCTAAAACCGATAATGATAGGTCGCGCAGCAAACCTTTTGTTCAGTTTTGGTCACAGACCATAAACAGATCGCCTGGCCAAAAAGTACCAATTGTGAAAGATGTCGCAACAAAAAATTAACGACAGTTTTGCACAATCCTTTGTTATGGCGAGCTTTTCTTTGCTGATTCCAAAATTTCATTGTTATATTCAATGTTTTAAAATAATTAATTTGAAACTTTTTACTGTTACTCTTGATCATATATCCACCATAACTCCGATAAATGAGGCATATACTGCAACTTATGCTGATAATACAACAATTTTAACAATTCACCATCCAAGACTAGCTTCTTTGATAAAATCATTTAATGCATTTACAAAAATGATTCTCAGTTTTGAAAATCAGATTAAATCACATCACATTTAACGTTCACACCTCAACGAAAAAAGTATCCACCATTTTTGTTTTGACTCTCAAACGAGCACACTATATAGGCCGTGGTGCAGAATTCTATTTATCACATTATTAATATCCGGCTTAACCTTCGTAAATAGCTTTATCTCATCGTAACCTACAAATACTTTATTTACGAAAATTCTCGGAATAGGGGCTTTTTAAATGTGGAGGTCGGCAAATTTTGTCCATTTAATTAGCTGCTGAAAACTCTTAAATACCCATTTGCTTCCCACTTAAATCGTAAGAAACTTCAGCAAAAAGTCGATAAAAATGGTAGTCTTCAAAAATATTGAGCCTTTTGGCGTATACAACCTAGTTATTTTGACAATTTGGGAGTGTAGGTCACGCCAAACGGCTCAATATTTTTGAAAGCCACATTTTTTTCGACTACGTGCTTAAGTTATCCTACGATTAAAGCGGAATGACAATGGGTATTCACGAGTTTTTTGCACCTAATTAAATAGATAAGGTTTGCCAACTATCAAGGTTAGGTTTGCTATGTATCAAGGGGAATACATTTGCACATATTAAAGAGAAAGTAGTGCCATTTTTAAAGTATTGAAAAAAAAAATACATTTGCGCGTGTATAAGCGAAAGTATTAAATATTCCATGAAATTAATATGGGACAATATAGGCACCAACCTACACAATTTCTGAAAATCAGAAAAACGTTGGCATGTGATATACATACACAACAATTTTGCTATAGAGAAAGACCGAACGAAATTTGATTATTGATGTCCGAAACGTAAAACGAAAGAAGACATAATTCTGAGTATACTAATTTTGTTAACATTCCACACGAATAAAAATCTTTGGTAGTGGAGGGAAAAAAATCGCTAGGTATATAAGAATCAATTTCGAAAATAAAAATAATTATGGTTGAAACAAATATATGTGGCAGTGTTTTACTTTTCAAACCTAAAGAAGGCTTTTAATCCAAAGATAAATATAATATTTATTTTATAATATTAGGAACCTAGAAAAATCGACATTAACGAAGGATTTTTTTTATTATAGATATTTTATTGGAATATTCCTAATGGAATAATTGTCAAAATTTAAACAAATGTTCACCTTAAAATTGAAAACTGATAAATGGCGTTTATAGACTAAAGTTAAGAGTTACAAAATAAGTATATATATTAATAAGATTGTTGTTTACGATAAAGTAATATCAATATAACTTGAGAATATTATAAAGATTTATTACACTGTTTTTTTAATAATTGACCAATGAATCTTGATTACTTCTAACTAATAAATATTCCAGACACTTGTAAGTTATATGGAAAAACAAAACACGAGTACTCGGCTTAATAAAGACTGTTTTACATAGTCCATTACGACTTTTAATTAGAGGTTATTATGAAAATTGAAACACGATCCTTCGACCATCTTTTTTTCCATGCTAACACCCTTTATTAGCTGGTGGTTTTAATTTAACAGTGGACCATATCTATTTTTTTTTTACATAGAATAAATCCGCGGAACGGACGATAGAGGGCGTTAATTGGCGAGATGAGGCCGTTCAACTGAGAAAAAAAAAATAATAAAACGAAATAGCGAGACGAGACTTTGTATTAATTTGTGCCCGATGTGGAGTTAATTGAGCCTGCCCACACGATCGGGCATTCAACACCCGTCTTGCCTAATAACCCACGATAATCTGATCCTTGGGTCGGTAATGAACCATCGGTCCATGATTCACAGATAAAGTTAGGATACAACTAAAACAAGACAGAAACATACATGGAACATTAATTTAAATATAACATATCTCTATTATGTTTCGTTTTTGTGCTAGACTGTTAACACACATACAGACTATTTTGCGGGACTTGGTTATTTGGACTCATAGGACTTCAAAACATTTCCGTTGAAAACTCAAATTAAAAAATTTTCACGATCGCAATACTTACCCTTACTGTATAGAATAGAATAGAATAGAATAGA